ATAATGTACTTGTGCATAGTTGGATAAATACTACAACTCACCTCTAAGGGAGGTTTGAGATAACGAAAGATAATAAATATTATTGTGTAGTTGCATGAATATATCATTGGTCGCATGCATGTGATACGTCAAAAAATATTTTGTCATGCCTTATGAAAGTTATTAAAAGAAAAATTAAAGCAAGAAATTATTTTGCTTATGATGATTTTGAACATGACAATTATTATGATATGATTCTCTTTGTGAAGGAGACATTCATTATATGGATGGTGTGTGACAAAAGATCTTGTAGTACAAAAGCAGTTAAGAGTTCTGAAAGAACTAATTTGTTACTATCCGGATGAATAAAATTGTTCATGACATTAATATTGCAGTAAGTATCAAAAGAAATATTTTGATTTAAAAATATATTAGCCAAAGTGGTTGGCATATTGAGACTATAAATGAAAAGAAGAATGAATATCTTTATATTACTATAATCATACCGGGTAAATATGAAAGGTTATCTGACTTTTCTTCTATTTGTACTATACAAATATAAGCATGATGATGCAATCACAAGCCACAAGTAAACTAGAGGTTTACTGAAATAAATATTAGTTGGCATGACCGGTTGACCATCTCGGTTCAATTATGATGCGAAAAAAATTAATTGAGAATTATATTGGCATATATTGAAGAAATATAAGATTCTTCAAGAATTCTCTTGTGCTGCTTATTCTCATGATATACCAGTTAAGGTTGGGATTGAATCCTTTGATTTCTGGAACGAATAAAAGGTGATAAATATATGGGCCCAGTCACCTTCCATGTGGACCGTTTATTATTATATAATTTTAATAGATGCATCTATTATATGGTCACATGTGCATTTGTTATCAACTTGTAGTTTGGCTTTTGCAAGATTGATTGCTCAAATTATTAGAGCACAGTTCCAGAATATAAATTATGATGATTTATCTTGATAATACTGGTTTAAATCCAAGTTGGTTTAGTAGAAATTGTATGCCTCCAATTATATCTAAACCATTGGTTATGAGAACAAAATTGCCAAAATAAAATTTGGTATTTGATGTATTATTTAATATACAACAGCACTTGTAAGCATCTAGCCAAGTTATGATAAGTTCTCCCTATCACAATCGGTTCAGGGTCAGGAACCAAATAATTTCCATCTAGAAATATGAATATGCTATATGATTTAATTATTCCACCACAATGTATAAAGATGGATCCCCAAATAAGGCTAAGGATATGTGTTGGTGATCTCAATAATAGGGGGAGAAAATGGGAAGCTGAAAAAGTAATGCATGTAATGAATTATTATGAGTACATCGATATCCTCGTATGAGAAAATGTGAACTTGAAGTTCAAGTGATAATTCATTTACAAAATATTGCCAGGCGTATTTGCTGACCCAAAGCTAAATGTCATATTCAGCTGCTAATACTCCAAATAAAATAAAGTTCATAATGAATAGAGTCCATGGCATGCATAAAGCATAATAGACTAATCGGTTCCAAAGATAAAACTCCTTGAAGAAGGATAGGAGCAAATGTTCAAGATGGTCATAATAAGGAGGCAAGTGTTCTAGAAGAGTACCACGACATAACACTTCATAAGACCTCATAGGAGAGGCCCAGGTACCTGAAAATAATAAGATAAAGAGATCTCAATAAGTTATGTCTTTATTGGGTAATAGTAGAACCGATATAAAATGATCGTCGATGATATTGTTAATATAATGTAGCGCTCAATATTATTAATATTGACGAGGATCTTGAGCTCAAATCTGTCATGAAATTTGGACAGATAAATGATTGGCCAAATAAAAAATACGCAATGAAAATTAATTTTACCTGAAAAATATAAAGTTGGACGGATAGTCCTAACACCTGAAAGTATAAAGCCAGTGGAGGTATAAATGTGTTCTTGTGCAGGAAAAAAAAGGTCAAGTCGATAGACATAAAGACGACTTGTGTCACAAGAAGATTTGTAAATATCCTGGCATTGATTATATAGAGACATGTTCTCTTGTGGTAGATGTCGCCATTTCAGATTTTAATCTGGCAATACAAGAAAAACGTGATATGCGTATAATAAAAATCATTGAAGGATTTAAATTGTTCTGAAGCATATTAAGGTTTCCAAAAAAAATTATTAAATAAAGCTTCAAAAATTCTTATACGGATTGAAACAATCAGGGCGCATGTGGTATAATCGCCTGAGTGAGTACCTGTAGAAAGAAGGGTACAAGAATGATTCAATTTGTCCTTTTGTCTTTATAAAAAGATCTGGATCTAAATTTGTTATAATCACCGTATATGTTGATGATTTAAATATCATTGGAACTCCTAGGGAGCTTCCTAAAGCAGTAGAGCTTCCTAAAGTAGTAAACTATTTAAAGAAAGAATTTGAAATGAAAGATCTTTGAAAGACAAAATTTTATCTTGGTCTACAAATTGAGTGTATGAAAGATGGAATTTTTGTCCATCAATCAACATACACTAAAATGATTTTAAAGCGATTTTATATGGATAAAGCACATCCATTCCGACCTCATAAAAATAATGAAGAGTTTTTTGGTCCCGACGTACCATATCTTAGTGCAATTGGTGCACTAATATATCTTTCTAATATTACAAAGTCTGACATAACTTTTTCAGTTAATGTCTTAACAAGATATAGCTCTGCTCCTACAAGGAGACACTAGAATGGAATCAAACACATATTGCGGTATCTAAAAGGGACTACCGATATAGAATTATTTTATGACAATGATTGCAGTTCTGATCTTGTTGGTTATGTCGATACTGGGTATTTATATGACCCACAAAAGGTTCGATCTCAAACAGGCTATGTGTTTACATATGGAGGCACTGCCATATCTTGGCAATCGACTAAGCAATTAATCGTGGCTACTTCATCTAATCATGCTGAGATAATTGCTATTCATGAAGCAAGTCGAGAATGTGTATGGTTGAGGTCTATAATACACCTTATTCGAGACAAATGTGGTTTGAAGTGTGACGAATTACCCACAATTTTGTATGAAGACAATGCAACATGCATAGCCTAGTTGAAGGGAGGATTCATAAAAGGGGATATGACAAAGCACATTTTACCAAAATTATTTTTCACACATGATCTTCAAAAGAATGATGATATCAATATGCAACAGATCCGTTCAAGTGATAATATGACTGATTTGTTCACCAAATCTCTACCGACGTCAACCTTCAAGAAACTAGTGTACAAGATTGGGATACGAAGGTTCAAGGATGTGAATTGATGCTTTCATCAGGGGGAGTTAATACGCGTTGTACTCTTTTTTCCTTACAAGGTTTTGTCCTATTGGGTTTTCCTTGCAAGGTTTTTAACAAGACAACCAAAATGCGTATTTCTAAACATGTGTACTCTTTTTACTTCACTAGGATTTTTTTTGCCATAGGGTTTTTTCCTAATAAGGTTTTAACGAGGCACATTATCTATGGACATCCAAGAGGGAATGTTATAAGAAAAATCAAATTATGATGGATGCCTACTCTTCCTCCATGATCTTCTCAAATGCTTAATGACATATTCAATGACATATTTTTCTTCACTTTTCATGCCTATATAAAGGCCCTATAATAGATAGAAAAATATACACAATTGAAGAAAAAAATCTCTTCTTTCTCTCTATCTTCATTTCTTGTTCATATTTTATTAAATTGCTTTTATTTCATAACAACATGTCTTCTTCATGCTTTACTAAGTTGCTTTTATTTTATAACAATTAGACCTTTTTTCTTATTTTCTTGAGAAGCTTCCATGAGTAAATTTGTTATTTCATTTGTAAGGATCTAAACCATAAACAATCGGAGTGTGAGCTCTGGGTCCCTAGGGTTTAGGCCACTGTTCTTCACTAAAATGGCAGCAATCTTAAAGCAAACCTCTAAGATCGCGAGACAATTGTCGAATAAAAAATTGGTATCAACAGCAAGTTTCAATGGCGCTCTCTCTCTCTTCCCACGCGCCACCATCAGCGGCGGTTCCGTTCGGTTTGCGTCGACGTCAAGTTTCAGCTACCTCGAGAAGAAAACAGCTCCTCGACGGTTACCGGCGGTGTACAAATTCCTCCTTCAAGCGGACGAACGAACTCATTCTACCGGAAATGAACCTATTCCGAAAATAACCCTAAGTACATTCCCACATATTCAATTTCGTTGTACTCAATTTGTTTGTTGCTTTTGGCTTATAGAGAGTTGATTTGATTAGCTTAAGGGAGCTAAATTGGACTAGATTATTGTATTCGTTTAAAATTAGACTTCAGCTATTTGGAAATTTAAGGAAAAGTATTATAAGTTGCAAATCCCAGTTTTGGCAAAAATACACTACGTGATTTTTTTCCATCTGTCTGAAACTTGGACGGAGTACCCAATAGTGGGAGATAGCAGGTAGGTAGTGGAATAGTTGAGGTGCACGGCCCAATCACCCCCATCATCTAAACAAGGTGTAATTTTTCTAAACGTTGGTTGAAGTTTACTTAGTTTCAATGTCAGACAAGATGTTTTGGAGATAAATCAAGCTAAATTAATGCATTTGTTTGAATTAAATTTTAGATCTTTGGAAAACTAGGATAAGTTGCAATTATTCTCAGACCAATGGTTAAAGTTTATTGAGTTTGTAATAAAGGAACGAATATTCTGAGGGGCCAATCATTTTGGGTGATACAGGGAGCATATAGGTATAGTTTAGTGTAAATTTATGCATAGAGTTTAGGGACCCCTTGAGTATTGGTGTGAGGAGATGAATCTTTAGCTTGAAATTTTATGACAAGTTCCTTATGTTGAAGTTTGAAGTTAGAGGCAGAATGTCAGTCGGCAGATATAGAGTTTTGGCAATTGGTGCAGATGCATCCATTATTTCAGTTCCTTACATCCGCCTCTTTTAGTAGTTGAACTTTAGCTTTTTGTTTCACCATGGGAGATTTAAATTGTATGATTTACATGTATTCGGAGTAGGCTACGTGGAATTGAGAAGCTAAGCATTTTTCAATGATCCTATTTTCCAAAGAGTGAAACATTATGCATTGGTTCTCTAATGTGAAGTTTCAGGAGCGGTTGAGGGTGCTAATCTTTGATAAATAACAATATATTTGATAATTCACAATGTTATTAGGTAGATTCAGGGATTCGAGCTTTGTGACTACACGACAGCCACTAGCCTAACACCTCTTTGATTAAATCTTTTTCTGTTGATCGGAAAGTTTAGGGCGTCAGCTTGTCATCATTTGGCTTAATAAAAATTCAGATTACAGAAGGATGATGTTTTTGCGTGGGTGGGAAAACTAGAAAATACATATTGGGCAGGCTTGTTTGATATTAATGTGTTCTGCCTGGAATTTCTGAGCTTGCCACTTATACAGTTGCTATCTAGTAGATTCTTCTAACCGTATGGCTTCTTTTTGAGATGAGCTGTATAGTAGTGAGTTGGATGTTAGTTATGGGTGGTCCGCTTTCTTCTCACTTTTACCGTCACATGCAGGTCATGTTTCTGTGAGCTTTGCGGGATATGTTGACTCTAGAAGTCATACAGAAGACACTAATACAGGTAGACTTCTTGATTTACAATATTGGCCAATATAAGCAGAGCATGTCTGAGATAGTTGGTTATTCTGTGTAGCAAGCACAAAGACTAAGACAAACAAGCCTAACACGAAGAAAGGGAAGAAAGGAAATCAGAAGCCAAATACTAGTGCAGGTAAAGATTTATCTTAGAGAATATGTTCAGCAGTTACATTGGCTCTTAAAAGTTTCAATGAAATTGTTTTCCTTTTGCAGCAAGCAAAGCTCGTGTTAGAAGCATTAACACAGGTCTGTTAGTTCTTTAACTTGACATTTGTTTTTGATAAGGTTGTTCTTTGACTTGACATGACATGTGAACAGCATGTCTTCTGTAAATGCAATCCCAAAGACAGTTGTTTTTATCTGCAGCTGGCACAAAAATTATTATGAAGCTTGATGTCAAAAATGCTCATTGGTTGAGTGAAAGAGTCAGGGAGAGGATCATGCTCATGGTTAGTCTTTTTTATCTTTACGTTATGTCCTTGAGGAAATGTCAGGTGAAATTTGGCCGCTCTGTTTTTCTTCATCTTGCTTGAGTAGTTTTGGATTTCCCTTCTTTCTCTTAATTCCAAGTTGACTTCATGGAAGTTCAAGTGGAATTAACTATACCTTTGAATCCTTAAAAAGTAAAACACTAAAAATTTGAATCCTTAAAAAGTAAAACACTAAAAATTTGAATCCTTAAAAAGCAAATAACTAGACCTTTGAATCCTTAAAAAGCAAATAACCAAAACTTTTTAATCCTTAAGAAAACAAAAAACCCAGACCTCTGAATCTTTATTGTGTACGTGTCGATTGTATGCCATCTGGTTGAATGACGATGACTTAAATTACATTCCCTCCGTTTCAAAAAGATTGGCACTATTACTATTTAGGAAGTCTACGAGGTTGTTCTTTGACCACGTTTTTCTTTAATATTTTATAAATATTTTGAATTATAAATTATCATGACTTATAATACTTTTTATGTAGTTTCCGAAAATATAAATTTTATTTTTAAAAACTTGAAGAATCTATGTCCAAATTCACAGTTAAAGTTAAGTACTTTGACCCTCGTACTCCGATTTATGCCAATCTTTTTGAAACAGAGGGAGTAGTGTGTTAATTACAATGACCCGTTTGTTTGCCAATACGTAATTAATGTGTAATTCCCAGTGTCATGTTTGGTTGTACAAGTGTGATTACATAGTTGGATATTCTTTTGTTTTAAATAAAAGCTAATTATAAAAATTTAAATAAACTTTTTCATATGAACATGTGAATAAGTTTTATTGTGTGACAAATATATGTATGTATAAGAAGTATTAAAAAGATATATAAGAATTATTAAAAAGAATTTGAAAAGTCTTCTGGTAATTACACCATGTAATTACCACATGCCCTCCCCCCACAACCGCATGGGAATTGTAGAGTGTAATCGATGCCCCTCAATTACACATAATTTATGCTGACCAAGTAATTACTTGGCTAGACAAGCAGGCCAAACTGTATAATCCTCTAACTACACCCAAATCCAATTATAAGTGGGCTTCCAAACATGCCCTTAGTGTAGAAAAACTGTTGCAGGCCTAGAATAATTAGATAAAGGTGTTCCCATTTTAAAATTTTAAACTTTTAGATGAGTCAAGAGTGGGTTGCTTTAGTGGTGAGCACCCTCCACTTCTAACCAAGAGGTTGTGAGTTCTAGTCACCCCAAGAGCAAGGTGGGGAGTTTTTGGAGGGAGGGAACCGAGAGTCTATCGGAAACGGCCTCTCTACCCTAGGGTAGGGGTAAGGTCTGCGTACACACTACCCTCCCCATACCCCACTAGTGGGATTATACTGGGTTGTTGTTGTTGTAAACTTTTAGATGAGTCTCACCACTACCTATTACCTAGTATTTTCATGTGCTTGTCCAATGAAAAGGATCAGGTGCGCCTGAGAGAGCAAAGCTGTAAATAAATATGAAGTATCTCCACTCTACACTTCTGGCTGGCTGTACCTGCTATAATGCTAATTGAAACGGTCTTGGTTAGCCACTAGTAAAAAGATGTATTAGGTCTTCCTCCATGATCCAAAGTATTATTCCACATACTAGTACTAGAGAATATAAAGCGTTATAAATGACTTAAACAAGTCATATGTATCCAATTAGAGATGGTTATCACATGCACTATCTCCTGTCTTCATGTAACTATGAAAATCTCTGTGATATTAGGATGTCAAAAATAACTGAACTGCTTCTATGTTATGTTTAATTTCAAAATCAAGCTGTCCCCTTCTTAGCACTTTATTATAGGAAAATGACTTTCTGATGGCCATGAACAGGAAAAGGGTCGGATCAAGGATGGGGAGCTTGTGCTTACTTCAACTAAGACTAGAAAACAAGAGTTAGAATCTGCTCTCTACTGATTTCAAATTCTTTCTTGCTTTCTTTTGCTTGTCGTTTACCAAGTAATAATATTATCCTGCTCTATTGTTTTCCAGGAATAATTTTGAAGATATTGTGGCAAAAAAGCAGAAATTGCTGGGGAAATTTCAGGTATTAATGCGTGTATTTTTGCACAAATGTGGTATATACTGAGGAAGGAGAAAATTTGTCATATAAGAATCACTAATTAACATTTCTCGAAATGGTGCGTCTATTCTATCTAAAATTTAGCTCAGAGAGATAGAATAACGATAAGTATCCACAGATAAGCACAGTTGGATATAATGATAGTATCACGTATCAGCACTAAGAAGCGTAATGTTGTCTTTAATTGGCTTGTGATTCTTGTTGAGTAAAACTAAATAGTAAATATCCACTTTTGGTGGGTGATGAAACAGGAAATAATCAATGCTGCTTCATATGCTCCGCTGCCACCTTCTGACGGGCTTGCAAAAAAACTTTGTAAGTTGTAAGAGCTCTAACCATTTTCTTCTCCACAGATTCTGTTTTCATGACTCTTCTGCATCTGTAATCTCGTGCCAAAACACTATCGATTTCAGGGCTGTCATGGGGAAGGAAAAGAATGCTGCATGAAGAGCAAGTGCATATATAAAAGAAGTTATAACTAATGATTGATTTGTGATATCAAAAATTTGCTGAAGAACTCTAGCCAATAGTTTCTTCTGCTGTTGATTATTATTGAAAGACGTGAGTGTGCCAGTCCTTAAAAATCAAGACCTATTGGCGAAAGACTAGCACAATTTGTTTTTTATCCACATATGACTAGATGACAGTTTCACAGATGTCGCGTATTAGCTTCTAGCTGTTTTCACTCATGATTATATTTTCATAGGCTGTAACCGCAAATTTCATTGCTTCTTAGAGCATGAACTTCAAGGGCTGTAATAAAAATTAAAGTAAGCGAGCATGTTAAGTTTTCAAATCTCCTTTCTTTGGATAAGTTTTTCTCTTTACATGTACCAAGGTGGAGGATATACTCGTGCAATCCACAGTTTTGCTACTCTCATTGGTTAACTAGTATATCAATGGAGGTTTTAGAATTGATATGTAGGCTGTCCTTATAGAAGGTAGCCTTGGCGCAGTGATAAAGTTGTTTTCGCGTGACTTATATGTCACAGGTTCGAGCCGTAATGCTTGTGTCAAGGTAGGTTGGGTTCCTCTATCACATCCCCTTGGAGTGCGGCCCTTTTAGTGGTTCTTCCTACTTTGCATATTGTAAGGAAGGCTTGTCGACCGAGGGTTAGCAAGAGTAGATCATATACTCTTTGTTGATCAACCATCAAAAGCGAGGTTTGGAACCCTTCAATTACAAAGTGGAAGATGCCTCTGAGCGAGCTGTCTATCAGGCTCGCAGAGCGTGTTCAATCAGATCCATACTACGGATCCCATACAGGTGATTTTTCTCCAATTACGGATCCCATACTACCCCATAAACATAAAATCAATTGCCATTAGAATGTTGTTTAGTTGGCCTATTCCTGTTTGAATAGCCTCGGTAAATCCTGTCTTTCTAATTAGTGGTTTCTATCTCTAGATCTGCAACACGGGAGGGGAAGAATATCCTTAAATACAACTGGGGACTAAAGGTAAGGAATGACTAATTTAAGGTCATGTGCAAAGACAAAATACTAGCTTTCGTAACACATCAATAATCTTCTACTTTCTCTTTGTTACAAATGCTACTTCAAGTTCACACACAATCTCAAACTATTATGTACAGCTCATGAACTCAATGTCAAAAAAATCACACCAGCAAATAAACCAACACTGGCAAACCAGAGATCTGTTAACTTTGTATGATCTTTGTACATCACCCAAAAATGCCCCAAAAAGTAAAAATAATACAATAAAAGAAATGAAAGAGAAAGACAAGAAAAATCAAGAACAATTTTTTTGTTAGAAACAATTTCAGTGTTGCTCCAAGTTTCCTCTTCTTTGTCAGAATCAAAAGCAAAAGAATTTCACTTTCGAATCACAAACTCCTCACCAGATTCTCTATCAAACCTTCTAATCCATTTCCTCACCACCTTCCCGCCGGTACCACGCTTCCCTTCGCCTGTGCCGGAGCCGGTAGCCCCCACATGAGCAATATCCAATCCTTTTCCGACCGGCAAAAAAACCGACCGTACAATTCTTGATTTTCCGTCCAGTACACTTCTCCATCTAAAATCCGAAACAATTCTTGAACTCACATTTTTACATACCAAAACTGCACCCCTATGGCTTAACTTAGCCACCTTCAAAATTCTTGAAAAATCATTTTTTTCACTATCTACTACCAAAAAATCTATTCCTACTAAATTCTCCATTGCTTCCTCCGGCTCGCCAACGACAACTTCCGGAAACATTCCGGTGGTTTTATCCATTGATAATATGTACTCAATTCTTGAATCTTCGTCGGGCACTATGCAAATATGTTTGCCACCTGTGTGTTTGCTGGCGATAGAGAGGCCGATACTGGTTGACGTAACGTCGTCCCCACGTCGTGACCATGTCTCTACGATCATTTGTGCGTCCCATCCTGCTGCCATGGCTGATACTAACTCTGCTACGTTGGATTCTTGCAATAACTCGCACTGTAAACAGATTAAGAAATGGGAGAGAAAATAAGAGATCTTTTCATGGGAAAATGAAAAAGAAGGTAAAAGACAATACTGTCGTGCTTTGATTTATTTTATATGACACCCTTTCCGTTTTAAACTGTTTAAAAAAATATGGAAATGACGGACTTACTGATTTAACAGTATCAAGATAAGCTTTAGATGCTTTTTCAGGAGACCAAACCAGCTTCATCTCTCTGTATGTTGGCTCTTTAATTTTTCTTTTCTGGAGTTGTTCTAGGAGATTTTCTGTATAGTAGTTGTTGGTATTTAATTTCTGGTGTTGTTACAAAAGTTTTCAAAGGTGGTGAAAATGGATATATGCTTATGTTAGGACAGAAAGTCTTAATTTAGAGTTTTATAGGAGACAAAAAGAAGCTAATTAAGTGACTTTCCAAAAAGTAAGAAAGGGAAAAGGTCAGTTTGAGAGAGTTGACATTAAATCCAGGCAAATCCAACGTGGGAGGATTTGGATTAAATTTTTTAGATATTTGCATCTTTCCTTCTTTTAATATATGCCTCTCTTCTCTCACCCTAAAAAAGGAAATTTTATCCAAACTTAGATAACAAGTAATTCTTCATATTAAAATTAAAATCATAATAATTTATTATAATATATCAATAAAATTTTACAGGCAATACAAAAATTCTTCACACTATTAGGGGTTGTTTGGTTCTCATATTAGTCATTATAAGGAGTGCTTATGCATTGATTAATAATAAAATTTTTTTATACATAAATTACTTTAGAAAGCCGCTCTCGCCTTTAAATAGTCTAATCCTTATGTTATACGTGTATTTTTATTCCAATTCTATCCCACATAAAATAATAATGCATAGATTTTGACATAACTTAATGCAGGTGTACTGTTTATACAATTAATGAAGTGTTACATTTAGTTAAGAGCCGATTAATTCTTCTTATACGGTCAATCAAACACAACAACTATATTAGCTCATGTGAAGTTTTACGATTTATAATCAAATATCATCAACCAAACTACCCCTTAAGTGTATATAACTTATCCTAAAATGTCATTTAGGTAAACACCGCGTGTATAGGATCTTACTTTATTTTGAGGCTAAGACCAATTAGTGTCATTATATTTATGTAATCCAATTCTTCCTAAACGAATCTTTGCTGCCAATAGCATTGACTTCAGCCATATCTTAATGTAAAAGGTAAATCGATATATCTATACAAAAAATGATTTTATACTCAAGGCTCGTGCTGGGATAAAAAATTAACAGGGGCATAATGAGGAAGCTAATAGTTGTAAACTTTGGACTGCGATAAATCAGACACAAAGAAAAATATACTAAAATATGCATAAAATATGGTTTGGCCAATTTGCCTATATATGAAAAGAAAACATAAGATCCTATTGAGAGAAAATTCTCCTCCTAAACAAAACTTTTTAAATGACTACATTGTGGATACTATTATATGTTTTAGTTGTGAGAAAGATGCCTTCAATTTATAGATATCCAAAATTTTTCTCCCAAAATAAGTAATAACCAAATATGGAAGAGAATTATATTTTTTTTCTTCAGTAAAAGTAAAAGCAATTATGTTAATACTTTGACTTTCATTTAAGAGGAAAGTAAAACTCAAATATGATAAGAAAATCAGGGCAAAAACCCTAACAGCTCAAACTCGAAACCTCTAATTAAGGATAAATGAATACTTATCATTCCTCGAAACCTTAGAGCAACGGTAAAGTTATCTCCGTATGAGTTATAGGTCACGGACAGTGGCAGATTCACCCCTCAAGGGTGGCGGTGGTATGGCACCTGCTAGGTTGATAAAATTGTTATATACCTATGTTGAGATTTTCTTAAATTAGGTTAAATATATGATCATACCACCCACAGTCACAAACTAAATAAAGGTGTCATGGGTGGGAGCAGTGGCGGAGCCACCTTACAGGACGCTGGAAAAATATACTGTATAGCTAGGTAAAAAAATAAATTATATGTAACTATACTATGTATTGACTGTCATGACCCAAAATCCAACTAGTCGTGATGGCACCTAACCCAACCTGTTAGGCAAGCCAATTACCAACTATCCAATTTCAATAAAAATTATTAAAGCAATTTAAGTGAATAAAGGTCTTAATCTTGTACAATCCCCAAGAACTGGTAGTACAAATCACGAGCCTCTAAGAATAGAGTATATAAAGCGGAAATAAAATAAATACATAGTCTGTTTGAATAATACATAAATAGAGGTTTTATAAATCTAAGGCTACCCTGAACATGAGGCAGCTACAACAGGAACGCAGGTACATCTTCAAGTCCCGCAACCATCGAACACAGCAACAACAACAGCCAACATCTGCACGCAATATGCAGAAGTGTAGTATCAGTACAACTGACCCCATGTACTGAGTAAGTAACAAACCTAGCCGTAGGTTGAAAGTAGTAACGAGCTTCCACCAAGATCGGGTCCAAAATCAATAGTCCACAACAGTCCATAACAACAATAAACAAATAATACCAGAAGTAACTCAGAGATAAAATGCTCGGCCAAATCATGATTTCAAAAATAATAGTTCTTCCTTTCAAATCCATCAGTGAAAACTCAAACCTTTTGCCGGAGTTGCCAAAAATGTGAATAGTTTGAAAACATTAAATTCCTCCCAAAATCTTGTCAAAAATAAATAAGATGTTTCATTTTCCTTCTGGATAACCCGTGTAAAAATAAATGCATCACTATGCCCATCTGTCAAAATAATATGTGAAAAATCATGAATGATGTGATGTTGTACAGCATGAGGAAAAATATATCTCTATGCCTGTATGTCATGTGTGCATGCCAATGTGATGCAACTCAGTGATAAAAATCATAAACAGCCCCTCGGGCAGAACATCACTCATATACAGCCCCTCGGGCAAACCTCACAGTCACTCGTGCCACTCGGGCATACCTCACAATCACTCTTGCCACTCAGACATACCTCACAATCACTCATGCCTCCCAGTCACTCAGCACTCGACACTCGACGCTCGCACTCAGTAGGTACATGCGCTCACTGGGGGTATGTACAGATTTCGGAGGGGCTCCTACAACCCAAGTGCTATAATCTGCATGGACAACTCATGTGCTGCACGGACAACTCACATGCTATAATAATAAAGTATGCTGTAGGCGGGCAACCCCGATCCACACTCATCCTCACAATCAGGCCCTCGGCCGATATCAAACATGCGGCGACGTGCAACCCGATCCCATAAATATGCAACATGCTGCGGCGTGCAGCCCGATCCCATAAATATCCTCACAAATCAGGCCATCGGCCTCATTCAGTCATCAATCTTTCCAGTCTCCAGGGCTCACAATGTCTTAAAAAATAGCCCAAAATGATGATATGATGTATCAATAAATAACAACAGAGACTGAGATATGATATGCAATGAAATGAATATGACTGAGTATGGATTTTCAATTTAACACAATAATTCACAGCAATATGACCTCTGTGGGTCCCAATAATACTGGCACATAGCCTCAACATGATTTTTAATATGCTTTTCAGCTCAATTTCTTTAACACATAAAAATTGCATGAAAAATGCCAAGATTATTTAACTATAAAGTTTCACAGAAACAATTATGTCATAATTTCTATAGTGCGCGCCCACACGCCAGTCACCTAGCATGTGCGTCACCTCCCAATAATTCACAAAATACATATATTCAGGGTTCATACCCTCAACTCCAAGATTAGAAGAGTTACTTACCTCGAACAAGCCGAATCCAAAGTCGAGCAAGATAAATAATGCTCCAGAAATCCCATTATGCGCGTATCAACTCCCGAATGGCTCGAATCTACCACAATTAATTTGATTCAGTCCACACAATTCATAGGAATTAATTTCATATCAAAATGCTAATATTTTCCACAAAATCCAAAATTACGTCCCAAAAATCACCCGTGGGGCCCACGTCTCGAAATCCAATGAAACTCACAAAATACGACAACCCATCCAATTACAAGTTCAACCATAATAATTTCACTCAAATCCGACTCCAAATCGGTATTCAAACTTGAAAAATTCGTTTTATGACATTATAGAAATTTCCTTCTATTTCTCTTGAAGATTCAATAATCTTACACTAAACATGAAGATGAATTCATGGAATATAATCACAAGGGAGTTAAGAACACTTACCCCAAGTTGTGTGGAAAATTTCCTCTCCAAAATTGCCCAAACCGTGCTCCAAAATCCGAAAATGAGAAAAATTCTCGGAACCCTCGTTTTAAACACTGCCCAAGCATTTTTGCACCTGCGGTGCCTGGGCTCGCACCTGCGCATCCGCATTTGCGGACAAAAATGCGCGCCTGCGGACAATGACAACCTCTCAAAACCACGCATCTGCGGGCTCGCAGATGCGCAAACCCTTTGCACCTGCGTTTGCCCCAGGCCAGCCCCAGTCCGCATCTGCGCCAACACCTTCGCACTGCGGCCTCGCAGATGCGGAAAATTCCTCACACCTGCGAGCACTGCCCAGTCCCACTCTTGTCCGCTTCTGCGACTGATCTCGCGCACATGCGGCTTCGCACCTGCCATCAAAATCTTCGCAGGTGCGATCACACCACTAGGCAGCAGTTCCAGCATTTCCTTAAGTCCAAATTTGATCCGTTAACCGTCCGAAACTCACCCGAGGCCCCCGGGACCTCAACCAATTGTATCAACAAGTACCATAACATAATACGAACCTACTCGAGGCCTCAAATCACACCTAACAACATCGAAACGATGAATTACACCTCAATTCGAAATCGATGAACCTTGAAACTTCAATTTCTATAACTTGCGCCGAAACACATCAAATCACGTCCGATTGACCTCAAATTTTGTGCAGAAGTCACATTTCACATTACGGACCTATTCCAATTTCCAGAATCAGATTCTGACCCCGATATCAAAAAGCCAACTCCCCGGTCAAACTTCCAAAAAATTTAACTTTCGGCAATTCAAGCCAAATTCCACTACGGACTTTCAAATAATTTTTCGGACACGCTCCTAAGTCCAAAATTACCATACAAAGCTATTGGAATCATCAAAATTTTATTCCGGGGCCGTTTACACATAAGTCGACATCCGGTCACTATTTTAACTTAAGCTTTAAATCTTGGAACTAAGTGTTCCAATTTATTCCAAAACCTCACCGGACCCGAACCATTTACCACGGCAATTCACACAACAACTGTAAAGTTTAATTTGAGCAGTAAAGGGGGAAGCAAGGTTGTAATACTCAAAACAACCGGTCGGGTCGTTACATTCTCCCCCACTTAAACATACGTTCGCCCTCGAACGTGCCAAGAGTTGTTTCC